CCCCGGAAAACCGATGTTTCTTAACTTTTCAGCCGTTTTTGGAGCAAAAAATCGTTCCATTGCATATTGATAAGTTATCGTTTTGGTGGGATATATTTTTGCATCGTATTGCAGCAGATACAACCACTTGGTGTTAGACAACCGGGGCCTGAAGACACAGAAGCATCGCCATGTACAAACTAGGGTGTGGGGATAAACATAAGTTGACCTAAACACGAGCTTCCAGCCGATCTGGACATTTCGACACAGGCTTTCGATAAACTGGCTTCGCTATACAAACTTTGTTTGGGGCAAGAGGTACTGGGTTCAGATACTGGGACAGTTTAGTGCATGACACTGGTAAGAACTTGCATCCGACAAAAGTGACCTGTGTTCTGAGGTTTGTGCCATGTACAGAGGAAGAAACTTGGGTCATTTAGGTTGGAAGGTTGTGATCTACTTCGATTGCAATCTCCCTCCATTTTAACCTCGAGTCTGTTTTGTGGAGCTGACTAGCTTTTCGACAGCTGATATAATGTGGAACGCGCATCTGATGCACAACTCGCTGTACTACTAAATGATATTGTTTTGTCACTTCGATTCGCTGCGAACGATCTTTTCATCCAGGTTGGACCAAAGTGGCACTACAAGGCTCAGATGACTCTTGGTGATCCGCAGAGTTCTGCCCGAAAACGTTTTACTCAACCCTGTGGGACACCGATGTGACTCAATGGTGGAATCTGCAGGGTGGTACAATACAAAGGCTATGGTTTGAAGTCCCGTCCTGGTTTACGTTCTGTAGACTTCCAGGATGGGACACCACGAAGATTGCAACCTTTATCCTAGCCTGAGTCGCAGCTTCTTGTAAATGGTCGAACGTTAAATCGTGGCTGCATGAGAATCCTAGTGTTAGCTTCCCAGAAAAGCGGCTCATCTGAGGATTCTCTGTTGTGGATCACCGTGCACGCGTCAGTGGTAGATAACAAATGTTCCATTGTGCTTGCCTGTGACCTTCCAATTAGGAAGCAGCCGTAACCATATAAACTGGAGCGTCAGACTGAGTGCCCGATCCGTAATATTTGTCGCTCACACTAGCACGTGATCTGCACAACTCTACTGCCGTTTCAAAATGCCGTTCCAAAATGCTCCGGAACCTGGTGTGCTTTGGAGATGGCACAAGTCTATTTGGTACTGTATTGAGCTAACCGCACTCGACTGGCTGTTGACCATGGTGCTTCCGGACATCTGTCTGATTACAGATAGACAGTCACTGTCTCAATACAGGGTAACCACTTCAGTTTTCTCGACTTTACTTTCACGCCTCATGCTTGCCATTGAGAAGTGGAAGTCTGTTTAAGGGAACAATTAGGGTCATGGCTTCTGGGAAGCGGAGCCAGGTAACTTTTTTGTTCAGAGTATGCTTGAAAATACAATCGCAAGTTTGCGTAACAGTCCAATGACCTCTTATCCCATCCGTAGTTCCCCTACTGAGTTTTACTAACGTGGTAGCATGCACAGTGTTAATCCCGTCTGGCCTGTACAACATTTGTGCGGTTTCAATATTTCGAAATTATTTCCAAAATGAAGTTATTGAGTGTCCTGTCGGCTTTTTATTTGTCGTTATCCAGTTAAATAAGTTTCTCAGGATGTGTTGTCTTCACAGCTCAACGCTACAATCACGGTGGTGCACTTGTGGGCGCTGAGTAGGCCACTCGTCAAGGCCAACATGGACATAACAGATTTATTCATGGACAAATACACCGTGTTCTCGTTTCAGTCTCCATGTCTCGACTAAGCTCAAGACGTCTGAGTAGTTAGAGGAAAGTCCCTGTTTCGAGTTCAACCCCGGAATCTTGACTGCTCCCGTCTGGTTGGGCAAAATGACAGTATCTCAGCTATCCAAATAAGGAATGTCACACCTGAACGATTATATTACCATATCTAATGTCCCAGTTCGTTCAACTGGAGGTTTTGTATGCGTGAACCTACAGCGAATCTTTCCAGCAAACATCATGACCCATCAAATGTCGGCTTTAGAGGCTTCCAATCAGGTCTGCTGGACCAAAGTCGAAATCATAGAGTCACGCCTAGAGGAATGACAGTTGCTGCAGTAACGTGTGAAAAATGAATGCCACAGAATGATGAAATCCGGTCCCAAATTTGCGGTAGGCACGGTTTGGTGGTTTTAGGATTTCTGCAGTTAAATTCAGTGTTAAAATTTCATAGGGCCGAAAGTGCTGCCGGTTAACTACACAGCTGTCAGGGCGCACCCAGGCAGGAAAAAAAGCACATGTGTAGATAGTGACGCATCCCCAAGGTCACCATCGGTACGACACGTCCGGAAAGTGGGTGAGTTGGCGGCTCCCACCAAACACGGCTTAGCAAAATACGACCAACCTGAGAGTGTTCACGACCGGAACATCGCCATTGGCTGTACGGAACGGACAAGTGAACGACCGTATTTGGCCATTTAGTCATCCTATATAATTACGCCGACGCTCTGTATGTTTTGTCCTGGCAATACAGACGTGTCCCCAGTTGTCTGTCTTCTCCGTATCGCATAGTCTGGCAGGCTCAGTGCAGGCCTAACACATAGACGGCCACCGCAACAACAACAGCTAAAGGACAGACGCTGACAAAGGACGAGTAACGTGAAATCTGTTTACAAAAGGGTGGTATTTTAGACAAAGTGATGAGAATTAGATACCGCAGCTAGTCAAATTAGGATTGCAAACGTTTCGCTGTTCTCGTGGAAAGATGTAGTGAAGTCTACCGGCGACGGTGACAAAGC